CATTTACAAGCTGCCTTTCTGGGTAGCATCCAGCCAGATGATAATTGCTGGTGTAGAATCAAAGTATTACATGTTTTTGACAGATCAAATTAGAAATATTTCTTTTTTGTGGAGTCACTTATTTTCAATGGCAAGACTTCATTTCTCAAAGCCGAAAAGGTATTTGCTTTTTCTTATATTGTTCTTCCCATTTCTTGTTGCCTTACAGAGGAAGCTTGTGGAAGGATTGACAGACAAAACCAAGGATTCAAAATTTTGACCTTGAAAAGTGTTGACTTCAAAAAACAATGCTAGAGGCTTAAATTAATAAAATGTTCAAGAAGGGATCTGAATGTAACCTTTCCTCTTTGCTTCTAAAATCAGAACCAGCAAAATAAATATCTCAGTCTTGCAAATTTCCTTAAGGTTTTTGAATTATTTTATCTCTTCAGGAAGCATTTCTCAGATGTTCCATCAGTTTTACCCCCTGGCTCCCTGGAGATTGAAGAGCTAATTGTTATTTGCACTTTCAGCAAGGCTTGTGCTGTTCTCCTGGCACCACAGTCATGAAGTCTTATTACAATGCTTGTTCTTCTTTTCTCTGAGACTATCCCAGAGGTCTCCAATGGGCAGGTAATGAATGATAATATACTCAGTTGAAGCCACTCTGTGTGTGTATACATACATATTTAGAAGACCGCTTGCAGTACAGAAGATTTAATAACATTCACATTGCTCTGGCTTCTTCTTTGACCCATGACCTTGAGGAGAAGTTACCTTCAGAACTGTATTCCTAACTCTTCCCATTTCTGTTCTGCAACTTCTGCTCTAACATGCAGAAACAAGAGGTGTTCAAAGTCAAGGCTGTTGAAAACTGTTAAAGATGTTTCAAGAAATTTGTCCTTAATGACTGAAAGAATGATAGAATTCTCACATAGAAATGTTTTTAAGATTTTTTAAAGTAGGGAAACGCTTTTGGCTAAAAAGCTGGAGGAATTTTGACTAAAATTTCTGCAGAAAATATGATCTAATGTCTAGGCTCTGGTCCAGCTGAATAGAAAGATATGTGGATGCCTTTAATTTTCATAATTCTGATAATTAGAAACAAAATATTTTTAAAAATAAAAAAAATAATACTGGAATAAATACTAACAGTAGTAAGTAGCTAGCAAAACTCTTTTCTGTGAGTTAGCAATGTCTTATTTGGACAAATAGTTAAAGGTGTGATACAGAGAGGGTTTGCCTCCCTCTTTCTGCGTTATCCTGTTTCCATCTATAAACTGTGTTTTTTCATTCCCACAGCTGTGCTTAAAGTACTGCTAGGGCAAATGAGTACTATTTTTCCTTGAGCAGGAGGTTCTTGAGCTGTTTTCTACTGTCTCTTGCCAGAGTCAGGATACAGGGCTAAAGGGACAGGTGGTTTGATCCCATAGTTGCGTATGATCATTCTTATAAATGACATAACTTGTCTGGAAACTTATTCAGTAAAACACCCTGGGTAGAGGAAGTTTACTTTTAGTCTGGGTCATGTGAGGGATGTGGTTTATGGTGCTCCCCTGGTGCAGCTCTGTCAGCAGAAGCAGCAAAGGGAAAGGGATAAGCAGAAAGGATGAGGTGGAAGCTATAAAGGTGTGAGGGTATAGAAATGTCTAAGCTATTTATGGCAATGATTCTGATGGCAATATCTCATGCAATTTCAACATTAAGTAATGGCTTCATGCTATAAAGAGCTTCATGGCAAAGAAATCATAGCATTGCTTCATCCCAGCTGTGCAACACCTCTGAGTTTCTGTGCTATGGTAAAGCATTTTTCTCCTATACATCACCAGCTGTCGTGGTAATTGGGATGGATAAATCATCCTGCTTTTAGAAAACGAACCACTGAAAAACATTTGGCTTTTTAAAAACTTTTTGTTTGCCACTAAATGAGAAGTAAGGTTTGTTCCCACTTAGAGCAGCCTCACAGGGCCTTTGGCTCAGCTGAGAGGATAACATGCTTCACTGAGCAGACAGGGGATATTTTAAGTTTCTACTGACACAAAACTCTCTGCAAGGTAAAACAATGGCTTCTGACATGTACAACAACCCTTAAACAGCCTCGTTTAGTTCTGTAAGCAAAACCACACTCACCCGCTGCATTATGACTTGTCAGAAGATTTCCAATCCATGGAAGAAACCCAAGGATTTATGTTTCATTGGGGTATAAGTCATACCTGTCTCTTAAAACATAATGGAAAATCCTGTATTTATTACTAAAAAGGTTGGATAAATTTTCCTTGATAACTGTCCTGTTCCTTCAGCTTTTGACTTCACAGTGACAGGCTCTCTGCATTCAGGCATCAGCCTGTGATCCCCTCAGCTGACTGAAAAACAAAGGGTAAAGTAGCATCTGTCAACTTTCAATTATCCCATAGTGGTATCCTGATAGTATCTGTTAACCAGAGCTGTGATGTCTGGGCTTGTGTGTTCTCTCTTTGAATTCAGACTTGACCTAAAAACACAACTTTGGAGACAAAAAATGGGAATTCAGGACTAAAATTCAGTACAGCATAGGATGTTCATACTGTTGTACTTGGCACTTACGCTTACTGTATTCAGTGAAGATGTAGAACTGAATTAAGCTGCTTAAGCTTTCTTGTGCCATTTGACATGTCCTAGGGCAGCCAAAGTGGATACCAACTATTGGAGGACATGACACAGGAATTGTAGAAGAAGCTAAATTAAGCTTCTAATGTACACATAGATATTTCCAAGCAGCAACACAAGTATATTTGTTTTAAGCTGGAGCTGAGTCACACACCAGATGTCTACAAGAGAAGTATCTGTCTGAAATATGAGGATACACTCAAACTTGTCTAGGCCCTAACTTTGAAACATAGGGAATTATAGCAGTAGAATTCACCAAGGTAAAGCTCCAGGCTGAAAACTAGGACATACTGAAAGTATGGATGTGCATATATCTATATATGGGTGGCAGTTTTTTGTGGTTCTTTCCGAATAGAGTGAAGCATAAAAGCCAGAAAGAGGCCTGTGTACTACTATTTCAACCCACTAAAAGCATTGAATCAGGGATTTCAAATGCTGCTTAGCATTATCTGAGTCTTCTTCTGGCTCTTGTATGGAGTTAAAAAGTGAAGCAGGAAAGGAAAGCTCAGGCAAGGAAGAGCTCCTTTATAAGCACTAAGATTCTTGGCTATTCCTAAACAATAAAAACTGACTTAAAATTCTTATAATGGATGTCTTGTTTATTCACTGCTCCTGTAAAACAATACCTCCTTAAAAGCAGGCCACAGCTTTCTTTTTCGCACCATCATATTCCATTCCACTAAGATCAATGACAAAATTTCTGCAGCTTCTAGAAGAGGAATTAACACAATATAAAGATTTCTCCTCTCATTTCTGTCTAGTCTAACAACAAAAATATATTATGTAACTTTTCCCAAAACATTTCTCATGCTGGTCTAAATACTTTTGCCATGATATCACAGCTTCTAAAAGAGAACAGGCCCAACATTACTCCCTCCTCACGTATAAAAGCTATGGTATATTCATCATTGCATTTGAGTCATTTTTTAATACCTATTATTTAGATGTTCTGTTCTTTAGCCACTCTATTCTTCATGCAATCAAGAACCCTTTGCTAGCACAATATCCATGGTTTTATATAACCAAACCCTATTCAGACAAGCCAACATATTAGACCTCTTTTACTGCAGCTGCACTAAACTACATACAAAATGTAAAACACTGGCCAAGACATTGAAAAAAAAAAAAAAAAAAAGTCTATTTTGAGTGTCCAACTTGAAACATTTACAAAAATCCAGTATTGAGATGATGGGTTGCTATTCTGTTTTCTTTTGAAAGATGGACACTAAGAATGCCCAGGCTGAATGTCAGATGTGAATTGTGAGACCCGTTTTGCATTTCATTGTAACTATAATGCTTTGTGAACTCTTGAGCATTTGGATAATATCTGAACATCTCATGCATTCAAGAGCATTTCAACTGATTTCAACATACCAGCTGCTTCATTCAGTAAGATATGGCCTTACTAAAACTAGGTCTAATTTCAGGCATTGCACAAAATGAAGGGCTCAAATAAAATAAGTTGAACTGAGCAATGGTGGGAGAAGCAAGAAGATGGATCATATATGCAGGATCAAGAAGTAATAATCTTCTTTCTGGTTATGTAAGAGTTAGCCATCTGCTTGTTTTCTATGAATACTGTTTTGGGGAAACTGATCCAATTGCCCTCCCTAACCACAGTCCTCTTGTTTTGCCTGTGAAAATGAGAATAGGAACTGATTTAATCATGGTGGGAGTCAGAGATTTGTGATAGAAACAGGTTTGGGTCTTGGTTGGGTTTTGTTTGTTTATTTGTTTTCTGTTTTATTTATACATTTTGTATATGATTCTTCCTTCTCCTAAACGCATGGGAGAGAAATGTAACGAATGAACAAATTTCTAACATGAACACTTGAATAATTACATATGAAAAGACTGAGGAATGTACTTTACATTTTCCCCACTATTTTTGTAATGTTTTCAACAAAACCCCAGGAAAACAGTTGCTCCAGGAGCGATATGAAAGCATCAATCTTCAAGTTACTGCTTTTGGATCAAAAAGATATATCAGGTTCCTCATGGTTTGTGGGCTTGATTTACTGTATTGAGCTCTGTGGTCTAGAGATTTTTTATACCTTACTGGTTGAAATGGTATTTTTTCCTAGTCACACAACCCTTAAAAACTGGATGATTAGTTTACTTCTAAGATACATGTGGTAGGTGAACAAGCTTAGCTTTGCTATGAGTCCAAAATATGTCTCATTTGGTTAAGGTAGCGAATGAAGTTAATTAAAACAGCAATCGACCATGAGTGATAAAGGTGACTAAAACTCAGAATACAAGGCTGAAAAATGAATCATAGAATTAGGGAAAGACAATTCCTATGACTTCGGATGAAAAGATGATCTAGCTTTGTGCAGTGCAATCTATGCATGGTTGTATCTGACAGTTCCTACCTTACTGTAAAGTTGGGAAATCTTCTTTGCAGGGCTCACTCTTCTTAATAGCTGTGTCTCAGCACTGCCTCATGGGATGATATTCTGAACACCAAGACAAGGTTGCTTGAAATGGAGCTGAAGAGAGAGTGAACAAGGAGTACAAGAGGTGAACACCACAGGGAGATTTTGCTGCCCTATTCCTTGATCCATTTTTCTTCTCCGCTCCTGTAAAGCTTCCATCATCATCTCTATGGATAGCTTCTGTAGTAGTTGCCTTTACACATCACATGAGGAATGGGAGATGTTAGGTTGTGGGCTGGCTGCTCAGTAGTTCAATGCTCATGTGGGAGGCACCATATATCCTAACAGTCAATCAAGCTGTCAAGAGAGGGAACTTTGTTCCTGGCCACAACATGCCCACCCAGCTGCTTCCCTGCCAGTGAAAGCTGACTTCATGGGGTAGAGGAATTGGGAGCTCTATTCAGGAACTGCTCTGAGTCACATTCTGAGAGCCCCAGCTGGCCTCATTTTTTGGTGCTTCAGTTGGAAAGCAGCAAAATGTAGTTTCACCCAGTCTGTCTCCTCCAACTTTTCACCAAATATCTAAGTCAGTTCAAAACAGAATTTGTGAATCCTAACTAACTGAGAGTAACCACCAAGAATCTTCCTAAACACAATACCTCAGATGCAGGTGTAATATTTTTAATATTAATTTAATTATTTTAGTGAGGGATTGGTTTCTCTCCCTCCCTCTCAAATAGCAGGTGCAGCTTTTCAGCCTTGTCCAACAATTCTTACTGCTAAAAAGCCTATCAATCTCCCCTTTTAACTCTCCCTTTTATATAAACTCTCCACACAGCATGAAGATGTTATAAGCTATTATACCTATGAATATCATGCGAACAGCCTATCAATTCCCAGCAACACACCTTTTAAAACTCTTCTCAATTCTCATTTTCAATGAAGGTAGTTTTATCAAGACCATCAGTAAGATGAGCTTTCAACCCCAAATGATTTTGCTCTATACTAGTCTTATTACATATTTAAACTTTTCTATTTTTATTTACATGTAGAGTTGAGACATAAATTCCTTTGAGAAGTGCAAGCATTCCCTTACATTTTGCCTGTTTACCCTTCTGGTATATGTAGCTCTTCTACTGAAGATTCCAGAATGCTTGTATCAACATATTGGCTTCTGTATTAGCATCTGTTTTGAAAGTTTTAAATGTGCCACTTTGTTTCTGATAGTTGATCCAAATTGCGTCACAGTTGTCTCTGCCCCCTTACAGGGCACTACCTTAACACTGTGCTATCCACAGCCAAATAGAATGATGGTGAAATGATGGCTTGAAACTTTTGAAAAGTGCCAAAATCTATTGAAGCTTGTTCAATTTTCCAATATATCTGACGTTTTCTTAATTTGTGCTGGTCTTAAGCATTTGCACCACGTACTATTCTTGTTTTTTTCTACATTTTCCATGATTTCCAGCTCTCTGCATTATAGATTCTCATGCACATTTATTCTATTATCACCAATAACCTCCATTGAGTCACCTCTTTTTCTTGGAAAATTAACTCAGTCTCTTGTAGCAGTTTCTAAGTGGTTTTATTCCATCTATAATCCAATCTCTGATCACAGCCCAATGAAAAAATTGCAATACTGACTGTTCAGCTTCTTCTTTATGAGGTTTGTTTAAGTATGCTCACACTCTTTTTTAAACCCTTTGAAAATATTTCATATTTACATAGTGTATGACGCATCCTTTTCACTTCTGAAGCACATTTTCATAGTCAGTAGCTGACTTAGATGCCAACAAACTCAATTTGGAAAAACAAAGCCTTTTGAATTCCATTTACTGTAGCAAGTGATTCCTAGCAGCCAATGTTTACAGCCTAAAAATTTTATGTATTTCTGTCAGTTAGCATATTTCTAGACAGTTTCAGTTCAGGTTCCTGCAGTTATCATATCACAAAAATGCTGGGGGATTGGACCATTTCCATCTCATCACCTCTTACAGTTCAGCACCCTCCTGAGCAGTACCTCTGGGCCCTCTTGCACAGCTTTTCCAACTACCGTGTGTCTGGGTGTTTCCCTGGCAATGGCAGGGCCTGGAATTAAAAGGTCTTTAAGGTTCCTTCTAATCCAAATCATACTATAATTCTATGATATATGTATTTGGCATTTTAGGACTTTGTGGTACAGGATACACCTCCTTGGCAGCTGTATTATATAAAGGATTTGCTTTGATCTTTCCTAGATATCCATGAAGACATAACACCTCTACTGGGATATGGATATTTTTCACATTTCATAACTTGTTAGCAGTAGTCCACAGGCAAATTGAGTGATCTGACTGGGAGGAGCTCTTAGAATCTTCAAAAGAGTGCAGAATACATCAGATCACCTCTTGCAATTACTTTGTAAAAGTGTGCTCTGTTCTGATGATAAAAGCCAAGTGATAGTTGTAGTCCTTTACAGATAAACTGGTCTGGGTTCCAACCACCACAGGTTCCTCCTATCACTGCTGTGTCTTAAATGCTCTCTCTCGAGCATTTAACATTTTTTTTTTTTGTTTTTTGTTTGATTGCTAAAATTTTATTTAACAATAAGAGTAGGTGAAAATTCCCACAGCCCACAATTCCCACACAGTATTTGCAAGACTTTAGGCACAGTGCAGAGTATACATGATGAATTGTCTCATAGTGACAATGTTAGATAACATCTTATACTTTGGATTATGAGCTGATAAGATATGACTCATCAGTTTATCTCACTGATTATGATTTCACTGCTACCTTCTGCTTCCCCAGCTGTTGTTTTCACTGGTAGCTACTTACCTTGGACTGTAAGCTCTTTGGGGCATGAAGTACCTTCCAGGAACTGTTGCATTATGTCAGAACAACCTGTGTTACAAGTTACCCTCTCTGCTAATGCAGCAGAAAATAAGTGGCCATATTAGTACTTAACACTGAATGCTAGACGTCCTCAAAATCTGAATTTTATTTTATTATTTACTGAGGGACCTTTGTCCTGAAACATGTTTTATTTTCACCTTGGATCTTGCAGAGAGTAAGACTCTGATCTTACAAAGTCCCTCAGAAGTTCCAAACTGCACTTGTAACAGATTGAAGTGGAAGGACCCAAAAGCCCAGCATACCTCACAACAATGTTAAAGAAGGGAGGAACTCAAGGAACTCAGAGGATCCCAAATCAATTCATTGTATTGAGGTGTAGCACTGCATAACAGAAAAGATCTCAAGTGCATTTTTGTAAGGACCAGTTTCAAAAGTCAGATTTCAAAGTCAGGATTTCAAAATAGCACAGGAATTTCTACAATACATCCTTAAGTGCACTTTTCCAAATAGACCGGCTACATTTCCATTTTCGTTTCATGTTTCCTGGACTTTGAACTCCTTTCACTCTCTACTTCCTTTCCTTATTCAGATAGACTTAAAGTTGCTTATTTTTTTGGGGGGATTTCTTTGGTCCATACTTCAGAAAATTTACAGGCTCTTTTCTTCTAAAATTTTCTTTTTCTTTGTCTGATTTACAGCTCTTTTGCTACTGTCATGTCTTGTAAGTGTCCATAAGATACAATAACTTTCTATGCCTTGAGGCTTTTAAGACTTATATTTAAATAACTTTCTGGTGATTGACTTTGTTACTACAAGTTTGGGAATTTAAAAGATGCACTTTCCTGTCAGAACAGCAAAATTGGGTATGACCAGCTGAAGCCCTTAGTGGTCTAAAACTGATCTTGTTAAGTGATCACTCAATATACAATCAAACTTTCCAGAGCATGTTTCAATTCAAATTTCAGACACAATAAATGCCCCTTTTAGGCTTATCAAACTGAAGCATACCCTGCTAGGATCATATTCTGCATGCAAGGAAATTGCCTACTGAAGTTCTCTTCAGCCCATGTTGCACATATCTACAAGGTCATCAATAATATATATGTATATACATATAAAATTAAGTATAATATGCTCAATGGCTGCAAAATTCACATTCCTGTAATATTTTGCTATTAACAATGGTGTTAGAGAGATTTAACCAAGAAAACTGGCATACACTAAATTTAAGTCAATAACTAACTGGTGAGAATTAGGATTAAATTTGGTTAATAGTTTAGTCCATGTTTGCAAATTATATATTGCTGATACTTTTAATGTTTAGTTTAGTATTTATTATAGAAAACATCTGATACTAGCTAATGATGCAGAAAAAAAATTGCCTTAAACAGATGAATGATGTGATACATTGTATTTAATCTCATATCCCCTTGTCCTCTGATATAAATTGTGGCACTCTTCTGAGTCTTGTTAAAAGGAGACAGTAATGCTTAGTCTTATAATGTCAGAGTTATAGTGATATGTTTTGTAGTGGCAAAATCTTGTTGCTATCTAGCATTTTACAGAACACTGTGAAAGAGTAAAAGTATTGCAGGAATTACTGTTTATTTTTTTTTTTTTTTGTAAAATTGTAACACCATCCGAGAATGAAAATCTGCCTTCCCAACTTCCATCTGGAGTTTCCCTTGAATAAATATTCCTTTCTTCTCAAATTTGTGAACTAAATTATTCAATGATATTGCTTTGTGATGTTAAACAGCTGTTGTGTTTCACCCCTAAAAGCACATTTCATTGACGGCTGAGGCAATTCTTTCATTTAAGCTTTATTTAAAAAAATGTCCTCTGTACCATGAACTAAATAGAATATATGCATACTAGAAAATTCTCTATATTTTATCACCTGTGATGAAAGCAAGATCTTTGCAAACGACAGATTTTATTAATCCCACAGATGCCACTGAAAAGGTTTTTAATAATAACAATGTTCCGGAAAAGCATAAACCAATTCAACAGACGTTTTGTGGACATTTCATGGACATTTTCCAGGGAAAAGATGAGGGAAAGGCTGTGGATGCTGTCTATCTGGACTTTAGTAAAGCCCTTGACACTATTCCTACAGCATTCTCACAGGAAAAACTGGCTGCTCAGGGCTTGGAAGGGTGCACTCTTTGCTGGGTAAAAAACAGGCTGGATGGTTGGGCTCGAGAATAGCAGTGAATGGAGTTGAATCCAGTTAACAATCGGTCCCTGGTGGGGCTCCCCAGGGCTCAGTATTTGGT